ATATATATATATATATATTAATTAAACTTTTAAAAGAAATTATCTTGTTATCAATGAGTATTTTTAATTATATATGAGAACTAATCTCTTACGAAAGTTTGAGAAACATTAAATAAATAAACATCTCCTCTAAACTTAAATTTTATGCATATGATAATTTAAACATATATGTTTATTTTATTAAAATATAACTTTTATTTTTCAAAATATACTATTTTTTTATTAAAAATAAGTATGTATGCTTAAAATGATAATGAAGAAAGTATCTCCACTATGTTTCATATAAATTTGTCCTTGTTTAGTACTTACAGAAGTTAAAGGAAAAAATGAAAATAAAACATTTTCTTTCTCTCTTTATATAAATTTTCCTTTCTTGTTCGGTTTTTTAACATATGAGGAAGGGTGATTAAAATATAGATAGATCTAAAAGTTTATTAGTCTCTTTAAAATGGAGAGAAAATGAGAAAGAATTATGTTTTTATATATTAAATACCTAAAATATCTTTCTTTTGTACTTTTTTAATGTATGATATTTAACTAGATCAACTTCAATAAAAAAAAATTCCTTAATTCAAGCAATTCATTAGAGAAACCCTAAACTCTAAATCTTAAAATTAAGATTTCAAAATAATAGAAATAAAATAATATTTTTATAAGAGTGAGTGTTTAGAATTATTAAAAAACACGAAATTCCAAGGTAGAATAACTAATTAAGTGATATATCTATGAATTGATATATTAATAAAAAAATCAACACACAAGATTAAAGAAAGACAATTCACATAATATGGTAAAATGACTTTTTTTTTTTTCAATTCATCCCCATCGAAAGCACCATGCACACCCTCTTTGCTCCTTTCTTTGGGGACTCCCCATCATTGTTGTCATTTTCATTGTAAAGGGCCTCTTCACTCTCAAGGATCAACTCTCCAGTTACCCCTCCTACCATGGTCACAATTTTCTCAACCTCTCAACCTTCTATGATAACTCAGACTTTTAATCAGGTGAACTCAATTCGTGGGTTTGGCAATCCAACACTATTTTGAAACACTCTTGAATTATTAATTTGAGAGTCTTGGGTTATTACTTGCGAGAAAATAAAAATAAAAATAAATAATAATAACAACGATTCCTTGCTTTGGGTTGCATTGAATGTTAATTTGTTGAACAAGTTGAAGCTTTGGTGGGTTTTGTTGAGGAAATAAGTCCCATGTCAGAATCGTTGCAAACAAACACACATAGTCAAAGATATAAGTTTTTGAATTGAAGGCAAAAGTTTTTTGGAGAAGAAACTTTTGAATCAAAGACAAAAGTGGGAGAAAGATATGCGTTGTGGTTAGAGGCCAGAAACTACCGTCAGAAATTGCCATAGAAATATTTTATTTTTGTGATTTTTTTAAAGTGTTTTTCTAGTTAAAAATTTCTTATTCCGATTATTTTAGTGCCTCATCCACGAGACACTTACTTTAATATTTCATGCTATAAGCATTCCTCACTCTTAGCATATGTTTAGCACATAAGAAAGTTAAAGGAAAGGATGTAAGAAAACAAAACACTTTCTTTTTCTTTATATATGTATATTTTTTCTTCGATGTTTGATTCTTTAACAAATGTAGAAGAGTGATTAAAAAATTGATGGAATTCACAAGTTTATTAATCTCTTTAAAATGAAGAAAAAATGAGAAATAATTGTGTTTTATATATTAAATACCTAAAATATTTTTTTTGATTTTTTTGTTAAGGATATTTGTGATATTTAACTAGATTAACTTGAAAAAAAAAATTTCTTAATTCAAGTAATTCATTAGAAAAATTTCAATCTCAAAATTAAGGTTTCAAAACAATACAAATAAAATAATGTTAGCAATATACTCCTATACTCACTTCTCTTAGTGTAATTTATTATAATTTTTCCTCTTTTTTGCAAAAAATAATATTTTCTTTTCTTAAGATGCGAAACTTGTAATGCCGAATTTATACAGTATTAAGCATAATATTATATATATATATATATATATATATATATATATATTTATTATAGATTGTTAGCACAAGTATATCCTTAATAATATTATACATAAAAATAAAGGAAGATTTTGTGAAATTGTTTATAAATAGTTAAGTTATAATTACATTACATACTATTCTAAAAATATTTACAATAACGTGCGTAATTAAAACTACTTATTTATCACATATCTATTACAATATTTATATATTAGATTGATATAAGTTTAGGATTAACGTGGTTAGTCAGAGGTAGGAAAAATGTAACCACTATCAGTCCATCAATAACCGTAGAGATTTCCTGAGTCGGAGAAAATGTAAAAGTTGACAGTGCCACTCCTTGGAAGGTAACCGAATTGGCGATGGCATCCACACTCTAAGTGGTTCCAGAAAATACTGATAGAAGGGAAAGGGTCTGGAATTGCCAGTAGATCCATCTATTTTTCTATTATAATTAATTAAATATTTTAAACAAGAAACATAAAGAGTGAGAACAATTCTACAATAAATATCAATAATTAAATAATATGCAAAGAAATATTTTTAACTAATACTAATAAATATATATTAATTTTTTTCTTGATATAAAAAATTTGAATTATACTTGTAGTGACTAGTCAGGATAAATGATCATTATAATAACAAATAACTAAAGGTTATTTCACCTTAAGTTTTTTCTCATTTAAATCTCCAAGCTTCTAACTACAAATTAATTCAAACTTTATTCCTTATGGCCATAGAATAATATTTATTTTTATAAATGCATGAAGAAATAATAACAAGATAAACTTAAGATATTTTAACAAACTATATTATAGTTATAATTAATATAAAAATAATTAAGTTAAATAAGTTTAAATATTTTTAATTATTTAATTTTAATATAATATGGTTTAAAAAATGAAATGTATTAAAGAATATTAATCAAACATTATAAAATAATTAAACAACATAAATTAGAAACACCTCATTAATTATTAAGAATAAAAAAATATTTTAGATAAAACAAGTAAATAAAATTAGGAATACCACATTGAGTAATTACACATAAATATAATATAAAATAAACAAACATAACCGTATATAAAATTTAAAAGGATAAAGGTCTCCTCTCCTTATCTCAAGAGAAGTAAAGTTGCTCAAAAATATCTAAGATTATTTTTATCTTTCTCTTTTTTCTTTCTCTCACTTCTTTCTCACTTTTCTCTTTCTCTCACAATGTTGCTG